AGTCTTTGTTATTTAGTCTTTGTTATTTAGTCTTTGTTATTTAGTCTTTGTTATTTAGTCTTTGTTATTTAGTCTTTGTTATTTAGTCTTTGTTAATCCCCTTTTAGTTTTTGACCCCTCGTAGTCTTTTTGATTTTGTAGTGTTTTTAGTGTTATCTTTTTTTTTTATTTTATTTTATTTATAAACCCCGTTTTTGTGTTCTTTGACCCACCAGTGGGTCATCCACCTTTTTTCTGTGTACATTATGCCACGTTCTCGTGCCCGAGCCGCCCGGGTCCATGACACATAGTTTGTAAAAGAGGAACAAAGTTTAATCTATATAAATCTTTCAAATACAGCAAAGCTTTTATACCTAAATATAAGAATCCTGCTGGGGACCAGCAAAAAGGTTGTGAGATGTTTGGGTCTAATGTTTGAGAAAAGGACTCATCTGATACTAGCATCTTGTCTGAAGGAACCGTGTCATATTGGTCCACAATTTGTGGTGGTTCTTCTGAAAGATGGGTGGAATTATGACAGGAAAACACCTGACATTTAGGGAAGATTAAAATAAAGCTATTTTTGAGATATTTCTGTAAATAACCTATCAAACAAACATTGTTCATTTGGTTTTTCCTCAATAACCTGAATGGGTTTGGGTTGATACAGGACAGACTAGTGTTCCAGATACACTGGGAAGAAGGGTCAGGCAAAACTGACAACAGCTAAATTTCTCATGTAGTCTCATTAATGAACCTGGGTTGGCCAATGAGGAACATTTTCCACTTGTCCAAGGATTAGTGGCCTGGCTTTGGCGTGACAGATCTTTCCTCAGATCCCAGCAACAACTTGCAAATATGACAGAAGCCACTAGACTTTGCCCCTCAACTACAGATTTTATGTGTAGAAACAGAGGTGATTTGAAGATTAATATGCAGCTTGGTTCATTTGACAAATATCAATGAGCAAATTATATGTTTCAGGATCGAGGTAAGATCCGACCGCCCAAATGGACCTGCCCAGGTTAAGCAGCTAAAGGATGGATGGATGGATGGATGGATGATATTTTTCACTTCGCCTTGCAGCCAGTAGTTGGGGGTGTAACGGCACATAGTGTCTCTGATTGGTTGAGAACAGAAGCTCCTCCCCCTGATGTGACCAACATCCCCATATATCTGTGGGCTGCAACCTCCCCTCCCCTCACACTCCAGTCTGCTCATTGATCACAGACTGACATCATGCTGTTCACTTTGTGCACCTTCATCACAGCTCTGGCATGTAAGAAACGCGCCTCCTCTCTGTTTATTTATTTCAATTATCATGTTATTTGTACATTTCATTGTTTTTCTTTCCTTGTGTCTTTTACCTTCACAGGTATCAGCGGCCAAAGGATTGTCACTCAAAAACCCTCCTTACTGACTCTGAGTAAAGGAGAAACGGCCACCTTGCACTGTCAGAAACCCGTAGATGACAGTTATACCATTTTTTGGTACAAGCAGGTCCCAGGAGGAGCTCCCCAGTTCGTCCTGTATTACTACCGTACTGATAGCTCTCTCACGTATGGAAGTGGATTCTTCTCCAGCCGCTTCACCTCCAGAGCCCAGTCCAACACAGATTATCAGTTAGTAATACGCAGCGTGGAGGTGGACGACTCTGCTGTGTATTACTGTAAGAAATGGTTTAGCAATGAAGCAGTATCACAGTGATTCACACCATGACAAAAACCTGCCAGTTTCACTTCTGCTTTACTACAAATGCTGACAGAATATTATTTAATTTCAAGTTAATCACAACCATTCTTAATGCAGTTAGAGTAATAACTGCCATCAGGACCGGTGGAAGCCCAAGTGGTGCCCAAGGCAAACTTCACTGCCAGTGTCCCACCCACCTGCACACCAAGGAAATAAAGATTGTACGCTGTTTTATATAATATAAGAACGCAATAAATCTTATAATATTTAGTAACATTATACAGTAATAAATAGTAAAAATAATCACATAAATAATAATTACATAATAACAATATCTGAAATAACAGGTGATTTGCAGGAAAT